ACTCCAGTGTGGGGGTATGGGAGGGTGCCAAAGGGGAAGGGGGAAGGGGGTATAAAGATGATTTTATGTATGAAATACACAAAAATTCAATAAAATTTTTTTAAAAAGATGATTTTCTGTTTCATCAAAAAGATTCAAGATGTAATACTGTGTGGGATGGTCAAAGCGCAGGCCTCTTAAATTAGAGACTTCCTTATGGCTAAAATTTTATATTCTCTAAAAGTCACTTCACTGCTGCCTTTCTTCTTTGTATGTTTCATAAAGTTTCTATTACAGGGATTTTCAACTTTTTCAACTGTTACTCAAAGTAGGATGCACAGCCTCAATTGCAGCCACCTGTTTGTGACTCTTAGCCAGAGACGTTCACACAACCCACTGACCTGAGGACTTCGGCAGGTCCGGATCATTTGCATTTGAATTCATCTCCTGGTACTGAACTTGGTGGACCAAAATCTCTCCTCTTGAGGAAACTGAGAAGAGAGGTTCTGGGTTATGGCTCACAGGCCACTGTAAAACATTCCCTCCTTTATCTGAGCTTTTTCCCAGCATTAAACATTTCAATCTTTGACCATGCTGCTGTTTTCAACTAGCTACTTGTGCGAAATAGGCACAAGATGAAATCCCTATTACCATGGCGTAACAACCCATGCTCCTAGCAAGTGTTCTGTGAATAAGTAAAATGCTTCCTTTTCCCCCAATTCCCACTATAAAGTCCTTTCCATCTTTCATCTCAAATGTTTCAAAATACGATTCCTGTCAACGATGTGGTCTTTCCTCAACCCTCCATAGACCCCATTGCCAAAAGCTCAGCTTGACCACTTCATCACTCTTCTTTAATGACTATGCATCCTCTTACCCTGGACTATAAGGAGCTCACAATTTGTTCCTTTTGTCTGCGTTAGCCTTACCAACAGCTTCTCTCTCTGAACCCAACTTTTACTCGCACACCACAAATGCATCTTTCGTATACTTTTCTGTCCTTGCATCTGTCGTCCTTCTCTGGACTATCTCTTACCCAATTATTGGAACTATCTTAAAATTTTGTCCCCCAAACTTCGAGAAGCCTTCCATCCCTTTTCCATCTTAGGTAATTGCTTTCTTTTTTATGCTACTTTGTTCCTCATTAGTTTTAATATATAGTGCTATGTGAATACTTACATTTGCAATCAAACTGTCCCACAGAGCAAAACATTTTTAAAATTTTATTATCCTTTTCTTTATCTTCAGGGCCTAGCATAGTGCTTGATAGAATAATAGCATTTTATATTAGGGATATCATGGTCAGAGTAAATAAATGTGGGCAGAAAAATCACCTTAGATGATAAATTGTGTATTCATTCTAAACTATCAGTTATTTTAATTAACAACTGCAATTAAACATGTAGAGTGCAAAGGTTATTATTGCAGACAAAACACCCTTTTATTTCTTGTTGGTCTTTTGAGACAGGTCTCACTTTAGTTCCAGCTGGCCTAGAACTAGCTATGTAGACCAGGCTGGCCTCATCTCACAGAGATTCACTTGCCTCTGCCTCCTGAGTGCTGAGATTAAAGGTGTACACCACCACATCTGGCCAATGCACCTATTTTTTTGAGTGAAATTTTGTTCCTTGTATTCTAAGAGACTCTTCAAATTTCTTTCAGCCTCCTGTTTCCCAGACATTGGATGGTTGAGTCATTTATTTATTTATTTATTTATTTAATTTAGCCCAAGAACTCCCTTATCTTGTGGTCACAATAAGGGGATCATAATTTGGCTCTGACCTGTAAACCGCTGTATCTGTCTTTGCTTCAGAGTCCACAAGAGGAATGCGATGAGAAGGATCAATAGAATGACCCCAAAGATCACAAGTGCAACGAGGGCTGAGTGACCTAAGCAAAGGTAAATGTCAAGATTCTCAGCTGAGAGACACAGGTTCCCAGTTGCTAACTCTCTTTTACATCAGATATAGGCACCCCAAAGTAGAGATCCAGTCCTCAAAATTCCTTCTGACCTGTATTCTAAGCAATACAGTTAATTGGTCCCATAGTCATAAATTTCATGATATACCTGTGCCATGTTGTGATTCTGAAATATTTCCTGTAGGAGAAAAGAAAAAGCGATTTAACTTTGAGAGTAGTTGATTACAAACATCTCTGTTTCCTTATTTGAACTCTCATTGCCTCTTAAGCAAGTAAACTATTCTTTCCCTCCTAAAGTTTGGCTCTCTAGTTTCTCTTCCCCACCACGTGGATGTACAGGTCACACCATGTCCTTTGTGACAGTCACTGTGTAACAGCAAATGTTTTCATTATTCCTTCAGGTAGAAACACCATGATTGTCTCCCCATCAAACCCCTGTGTCGACAAATCAAGCCTTCACATAACACACTTCAATGCTTGGTCCTGTTTGCTGCCAAAGAGTCCATCTCAATCCAGGCTCTTGGCACCCACCTGGGAGGCACTGCACAGCAGCATCTTCCTTGTGGCCACAGTCGCTGTGACTCCACGGTCTGGCAGGACAATCCCACAGGGAGGATTCATTCCCTTTGCACTTCACTTCATTGAGCCATATGGGCCCAGTCCCTAGACCAAATGCTGCTTCTTTTAGTGCCTTCACAGCTTGGCCACAGCCCAACTGCTGACATACGACCTGAGCATCATTAAGGTCCCAGGAGTCATCACACACTGTCCCCCAGGAACCTCTGTGCCAGACTTCCACACGTCCGGAACAATCTGTATGTCCTTCCTGAAGTCTTATTTTATCTGAAAAAGAGTCATCTGTATTATTCCTAGGAAGACAAAAGTTTCTGAAAGGTTATGGGAGAAAAGGGAGATTTGAAACTCTAGGTTTTAAAACTCTATTTAAAACTATTTATTTAGCATATGGTAAGAAATTTCATTTGTCTAGAGATATGACAGAGATAGGGTTTTCTCTAGGATCTATGACCTCTCCAGTCATGTGTATTTGGCTGTGTTTACAGTATCACCCATGAGTTCACTCCCATTGAGAAGTCTTTAAGTCCAATTAGATAGCTGTTGGTTACCCTCACCCCCGAGATAACAGTGCTACTGCTACACCAATAGAGGTCAGAATTTTTTGTTTTAGTCTTTTTGAGATAGGGTCTCCCTGTAGCCCCAGCTGGCCTGGAACTCACTATGTAGACCAGGCTGACCTTGAACTCACAGAGATCCACCTACCTCTGCCTCCCAAGGGCTGGGACTAAAGGCATGTGCCACCACGCCTGGCCAAGATCCTTATATTTATAACAAGTATATAGTACAACACTCATCAAAGAAGCTTCCTTTTGCAACAGATGGAGGCTACTGCAGAGTTCCACAACTGGTCACACACAGAGAATACACGTCTAAGAGTATATTAGATGCCCAGTCCTAGGTGACATATCTACAGTGGAACCTCTACACCTAAGGCTCATGGAACATAGTGGAACAAGGGGCAGAGAGAAAACTAGTGCATCTCTCAACTCTCACCAGTGAAGCTTCCTTATATAACAGAGTTCTAGACACACAGAAAGGCCACAAGTGGCCACGTTTGCAGAGTGTGTGTCCTTGGATAGGACTCCTACGTTAGACCTTACCCACCCATGGCTCAGGAACCATTGTGGAAAAAGGGTTGGAAAGATTGTAAGAGCTGGGGTTGGTTCACGAACATAGGGAAACTGGTGGACAAGGCTGTCCACTATCTCTACTCCTTTGCAATATAGTGCTTGAAACTCTTGTAAGACCAATAAGACAAGAGAAGGAAATTAAAGAAGTACTAACTGGAAAAGAAGAGGTCAAATCATCACTATTTGCAGATGATATGATATTACACATATTAGATTCCAAAAATTCCACCAGAAAACTACTAGAAATGATTAATACTTTCAGTAAAGTAACAGGTTGCAAAATCAACTGCAAATGAATGAAGTCAACATTGTTAATGTGGAATGTTAAATTTTCTCTAATGAATTATGTGGACAGGAATCTTTCTCATAGTTTACGAAAATGTAGAATGAGAAAGTAGTCCAGAATTGATCTTTCTGGTTGAATTTTTTCTTATACCAATGTAGCAAGATAATATTTGAAATAAATGTGGGGAAAGGAAGGCAGATCATTCAATAATCCAAGTAATCATGTTTTCCCTGCTCCTTTTTTTTCCCCTCAGAGGAAGCAATCAAAACTTCCAAGTAGAGTACAGGAAATGTGAAAGTTTTCGGAATAGTTATCACTGAAATCGTATGTGTGTATGTGTACATATGCAGAGCATAATAATTAAATAAAATCAATTAAATGAAATATAGGTCTTGCCTGGACATTGATCACTTCTGGTTAGTGAAACCTAATGAACTGAGCCACAGTGTGTACAAGGAAACAAAACCTGATGTTTCCTCAGAGGATTGTACTGGAGTCGTAGAATAGAAGTTTCTTATCGACAATGGATACTCACTATTGCAGATGATCCAGGTCTCCTTGGAAGGGCTGGCTTGTCTCTGCTTCCATGGAGAAGATGGACATTGCCATAATGTGTCAACTCCTTTTGGACACTGCACATTATCTATCCACATGGGCCTGGATGGCATCTTATCTGAAGATGTAGGTTTCACGGTCCCATTGTCTGCACAGCCCAGCTGACGGCATACCACCCCCACAGTAGTTGGAGACATGTCATTGCTGCCAACGCTGCCCCACACGCCATTGTAAAACACTTCCAGTCGACCTGAACAGGTCTCTTTCCTGGTTTCATTGCTCAGTCTCAGAGACATGAACTCTAGGATGAAATAAAAGTTAATAGTGTCACAACTTTCCTGAAGATTTAGGAAACACCTTCCCTTTTCTCCAATGTAAGAATGAATTTAAACATAGGTAAAAATGATTAATTACCAATAATTTGTCAATACCTTCTGGACACACAAACAGATCTTAGTAAAATACAATTTTTATATTTATTTATTTATTCATTCAATCATTCATTCATTCTTTTTGGTCTTTTTGAGACAGAGTCTCTTTGTCTGACCCAGCTGACCTGGAACTCACTATGTAGACCAGGCTGGCCTTGAACTTGTAGAGATCCCCCTGCCTCTGCCTTCTGAGTGCTGGGATTAAAGGCGTGTGCCACCACACCCAGCACAATATTTATTTTTTAAAAATAAATATTGTATTTATGTATTTCACAAAATATAAGATATTAATCAAATTTAGACCCCTGTCCCCATACATGCCTCATAGCCCCCCCCACCAGAATTTATGCATTCTGTCATATATGTTAAGTCCTATCTGGTCAAGAATTTGTACCCAGATATCACCTCGGTGCAAGTTCATCCACTGGAGTCTAGTCAGCTTATCTAGAGTCACTCCCATAAAGAAGATCTATCTACTCCCCATCACCCAGCAGTAATCAGTTGTCAACAGTTCCACCAACAAGATTGGAGCCCACTCCTGGATAGGACACCTATATTAAACCTCACCCACCCCATGACACAGAGACCATTGTGGAAAAGGGAGTGGAAAGATTGTAAGAGGCAGAGTTGGTATGTGATCATAAGGTAACAGAGTCTTCCAAGCCTCTGGGAACTTGCTCATATGAATGTGCAACAATGGTGACAGTGGGGCCTGGAGAGATGGCTCAGTAGTTAAGAGCACTGGTTGCTCTTGCAGAAGACATGGGTTCAGTTCTCAGAACCCACACGGTGGCTAACAACCATCCATAACTCCAGTTCTAGGGGATCTGATGTCCTCTTCTGATCTCCGTGGGCATGGCATGACACAGGTGTACCTACCTATGTGCAAGCAATACACTCATACATATAAAATAAAAATAAAAATACTTTTTAAAAACAAACAAAAACCAATGGTGACAGAATGCATAAGACCTTGCCAACTCATTCAGACAAAACACAGCATAGACATGGGGGAATATTTATTTTGATATACCTCTGACTTTCTAGTCTTGGGTTTTGTACTTTAGGACTTCTTTCAAATGCTGTCAGCCATCCTAAAATGCTTTCTAGATTCAATCAAAGCCTCAGAGCCATTTTCCAATTATATAGTTTGGATTTTCTCCCTTAATGATTATAATTTTAACCCTATGAGTCTTGTTCCAGTCTTGTTTATTTTTGACACTTGAAACTCTGTATTTATGGGGCACAGTGTGATGTTTCTATATATGTAAATTCTGTACTATGATGAAGTAGGAAGTTAAACACAGGTGTGGGTTTTTTTTTGTCTGTGTCTTTTACACTTAAAATGTTAGTGAGACACAGGTACTAAAACCAATGTTTGGTGTACGTTATCTTGAGATGAAATAGTTCCTGTCTTTTTTGATTTATTTATTTTTATTTTATATGTATGAGTGTCTTGTCTGCATAAAAGTAAGTGCACCTGTGTCATGCAAAGCCCATGGAGGCTAGAAGAGGGTCTCGGATCCCCTACAGCTGGAGTTATGGATGTTTGTTAACTGTCATGTGGGTTCTGGGAACTGAACTTGGGTCCTCTGGAAGTGCAACCAGTGCTTTTAACTGTTGAGCCACCTCACCAGTCCCAAATATTTCCTTTCTTGACACATCAGTTTTCCCACAAATGTCCCCTACCAGATTTATATTAGTTAACAGGAACTGATCACTTCTGCACATAGGATTTTTTAACTTCACTATATTACTGAATCATAACATTATTTTCATTAATATATTACAAATGAGGACTTTTTTGTTTCAGAATAGAACCTCCTCTTCGATACAAGCAACAGCAATGGCCTCTAATGGTAACGTTTGCTTCTTTGGCAAATAAAATTCATTTATCTACTTTTAAGAATTACTTAAATATGGTAATTATCTTTTTCTCTGTATAGAGTTGTATAGAATTCATTTTTGAAATCCAGTTTACTAATATAGTAACTGTCAAGTGAGTCATTGAATTCAGTATCCAAGTCTACTTACATTTATAAAGAGCTTTCCTGTTAACCTTTTAATGATATTCAGGCTTGTTTTAGATTTTTCTTAGTACACTACCTGGCACATGAGGTACTAACTGACTCATCAAACTCATACTTCGAAGCTCCTAACTGTGGAAATCATTTCCTTTGAGAAGACTCTTGAAGGATTATATCATGTTGATGTCTTTCACTATTCTTTACCCCTTTTCAGTAATTTTCACTGTGATTGTGACCAGGGATTATGTGCAGAACTCACCTGAGCAGATAACTCCGGCATCCTCCTTGTGTCTGCAATTATGGTGCCCCCAACCGTGTGAACGGCACTGCCAAATATGAGTTTCTTTCCCATTGCAGTTTATCTCATCTAGCCAAATATCCCCTGATCCTTCCCCAAAATAAGCAGAACCAGTAGCGTTAATGGCCACTCCGCAGTCCAGCTGCTTGCACACCACATGGGCATCCACTAGGTCCCAGCTGTCATCACAGATGGTGCCCCAGGAGCCCTTATGATAGACCTCTACTCTCCCAGCACAGCGGCCGCCTCCATCTGCCAAACGAAGTTGACCACTTGCTAGAAAGAGAAATGGAAATATTAATCAAGTGCATTTTAAGGACTGAGATGATTTTCATAGATTGGTCACTGATTCTCACCTATGCAGGGAACAGCACTTTCTTCTGGAATAGTTGAGCTCGTTGGGTCTGAGGACGATGTATTGCATGGGGATAATGTTTGGGACTGGTTTCCTGAAAACCAAAGTTTCAGTCATATAGGATACATGTAAGATATATAAGAATGGAGGTCAGATGGAATGTTAGGAAGATGAGTTGAGGACAAACAAATTTGGAGAAAGAGGAAGGTAGCTATATTAGCTGGGAGTGATGCTTGAGAAAACTTAGCACATAGCAAACACTAGAAGACAATGAGGCTGGTGAAAATTAAGTTACCTCTCCCTCTAAAAAGGAAAATGAGGAACTGGAGAGGTGACTCAGAGGTTAAGAGCACTGGCTGCTCTTGCAGAGGACCCAAATTTGGTTCCCAGCACCCACAAGGTGGCTAACAACTATCTGTAACTCCAGTTCCAAGGGACCTGATGCCCTCGCCTGATCTCTGGGTGCATTGCACAACACAGGTACACTTGCATGCATGAAGGCAATACACTCATACACACAAAATAAAAATAGTATTTTTTAAAAAGACAAATGAAGTCAATATTCTAGCTCACTTCTCATGACCCTCAAGATGGGCCATTTCCTTTTTCCTTTCTTCATTACTGTAGGTACATCTGATTGTAAAGTGTGCCACTGTGGAAAGCTCATTATTGGGTGTACCCTTCATTCTTTTACCTGAGCATATTACAGAGGCCACTTGCCATTCAGGACATAGGGGTGCCCCTAGAGCAGTTACGAGGCAATCTCCCAAATGCTGCTCAGTTCCAGTGCAGTGGAACATGTGCCTCCAGACCTGACCATTTCCTTTTCCAAAAGGTGTTCTTCCTGGAGTAGAAAGAGCAACTCCACATTTCAGTTGCTGACATAAAACATGAGCATCTTCTATATCCCAATGAGAGCTGCACAGCGATCCCCAGGTTCCAAGCACCTTGAGCTCTACTCTTCCCTCACATGAGGACTTGCCGTTTGCCAAGCGGATTTCAGTGTATCCTGAAAGGAAACAAGGCTTTAGAAAAGATGTCTGTGCCTCCCTAGCCTTTCCTCCTTCACAGAATAGAAACAAAAGGCATTTCCTGGATCTTACTTGAGCAGACTATGCCAACGTCTCTTTGGTGGCTACACGTTTCATCTACAGGGGGTGCCACGGAGCACAGTGAAAGATGGGACTCATGGCCTCCACACTGGAATTCTTCAGCCCATATCTGTCCACTTCCTTCTCCAAAGTAAGCACCCCCTCGGATAGAGATGACTGTGCCACATTGTAGTTCCCTGCATACCACACTGGCAGCTTCCAGAGACAAATCAAAATCACAGACGGAGCCCCACACATCACCATGTTTCACTTCGAGACGACCAGAGCATGGAATGTCCCCTCCGACCAGTCTGGGTTCCCTGTGGGCTGAAAAGCAATGGTATTTCAATGACAGATACAATTTCCAGATTTTTCAGTCACAATGGCATAAGGGAAGAGGTAAAAATAAAAGGGAATAGCAGACCAGGTTCTCAGTGATTTTCCACTTTGTACTTCTTGAATTTTCTGCCTAGATAGAGTATAGCAAATTCTAGATCCCTCCTTCTTCATTGGTCCTATCCTTTTAAGAAAATTCTAGATTTTTGATTTTTGAAGAAAATCATTATCAGAAGCAACTGCTGTTTTCTAGTATTTCACTTTCATTATTTAAAAACACAGAGTTCACTCACTGTGTGTCAGTCAGCCAACTACTCATTGTGATTTAAGATCTATTACAACATTTTGAATATTTGTATGTTGTTTTTCAGTATTTTAGCTTTCAAAATGCACACCAGACTTTTAAAAGAATCAGTTACGCTTGATATCTGTGACCTTCCTTTCTTCTATTTTTTTTCTTCCTTCCTTTCTGACATGGTTTTATCAAGATGTTTCATAGATAGACAGACATGTGCATGACCTGCCTCTCACCATGCAATACCACATCTGTTCTGCCAGCAGGAAAGGCAGCTCTTCATGAAGCTTCTAGAATTTGAACCTCCAGGACCAAGAGACAAAAAACCTTTTTTTTTTCTTTATAAACTAACATCAAAAAGGAGGAAAGGAAAGAGAGAGGGGGGACTTCCTACAGCCTGACTCACAGTTCTGTCCTCAACATTCTCATCTGCTCACTGGGTAGCTCTGAAGTGCTATGTATATAGATATATAGATATATTTAGGAACTTTAGGTGTTCAAAACTGAAAAAGAAGGAGACCAAGAACCCTCTAGGGGACGCTCTTTCCCACCATTTCAGTATAGGCCAAAACTATGGACGTATGGTGTCTTACTTTAATTAAGAGAAATAATGACCTGTAGTCACAGTATCTGAAAGTGCTTTGCAGACAATGATAAGCTGGCACCATCCTTTGAAATAGTCTGGAAAAGAATTCATGTTGTACCCTTTGTACGTTCAGAATGTACCATTATTAGAAACCCTCAAAAAATAAAACAAAATAAAATGGCAAAAAAGAATTATATGATAAGTGCACTGAATTCTTTGCTTGGTAAATGACATCCAAAACAAATTAGAGTTCCAGATCCCCTGGAGCTGGAGTTACAGATGGTTGTTAGCCACTGTGTGGGGTCTGGGAACCAGACCCGGCTCCTCTGTAAGAGCAGCCAGTGCTCTTAACATGCTGAGCCATTTCTCCATCCCTGAAAAAATTCTTTTGCTAACTCCGAGAATTGTTGAGGTTAGCCAATGATTACTCATTTTTTGAAGCAATCCAAGAGCCTCTAAGTTTTCATTAGAAACTGGGTTATGAAAGACTTGCAGACCCCGCCCCCCAGATATTCATTTCAAAACAGACTGAGGTGTGACTGAGGTTGACCGTCTACTGTCAAAAAAAAAAAAACCAAAAAAACCTTCTCTGATGAGGGTTGAAAGATGCACTAATCTATGGGTATAATGATGAGGCATTAGGAGTTGGCTGAATACTATGAAGGAGAGTGTGGGAAGATTGTAGGAGTCAGAGGTGGTAGATGATCACAAGGAAACAGGAAATGTCTTCTGGACACAGCAGGTCAGGTGCACATATGAACCTACAGCAATGATTGTGGTGTGCACAAGACCTGCAGAAGCTAGAACTAGACAAAATCCCAGCATGGAGGGGGAGGTAGGCATGATGTCCCAATCCTAGATGAAGAGCTTTGGCAATTGATAGATGCTGGAAGAGGGAGTCAGTCTTCTTTCAAAGTGTGGCCTCTGGTGGGTCAGCCATATTTCAGTGGATGGTCACACACCCAAGAGCATATGGGCAACACAAACTGGACTTAATGTTTTTTGACACTTTTTAAAATAGAATTTTTGTGTATTTCATACAGAACATCTTAATCAACTTTATATCCCCTTCCCCATTGACATCCTCCCATAGCCTCCCCACTGGAATTTATACATTCTGTCATTTGTGTTAAGGCTTATCATGTCAAGTTAGTGTCCCCAGACATCCCTCAGTGCAAGTTCATCCATTGGGGTCTAGTCAGCCCATTTAGAGTCCTTCCCATTAAGAAGACCAGCTCTTCCTCATCCAGCAGTGATCAGCTACCAATAATTCTTAGATTGGGGTCTGCTGTCCATTTCCACAGTTTTGTGTTGGGTTTTTGTCTGCTTGAGTTTGCATGACTTGATGGGATTTTTTAAAAAGAGGATATGGGTGTGTTCCCTTTCTCATAGCATCTTGTGCTGGCCATTTCTGCTCTGTTAAGACCCACGTGGCACTTTCCCAGACCTGCCTTGATTAATACAGCTCTCAACTCTCAGCAGGGAAGCTTCCTTGTACAGCAGATGGTGATTACCGCAGAGACCCACAACTGGACAGTGTGCAGAGAAGAAGAGGCTGCAAACTGCCTATCCCTGAATAGGACACCTACATCAAACTTCTGTTGTCCAAGGCTCAGGGGTCATTGTGGAAGGATGTGGAGATTTTAAGAGCCAGAGGTGGTATATGACCATAAGGAAACAGTGTTTTCCAGGCAGCTAGGCACTTACTCATATGAACTCATAATAATAGTGACAGCATGGACAAGTCCCATGTAAGCTCAAACCAGACAAAATCCCAGCAAAGACAAGGGGAAGTGATAAGAAACCCCAATCCTACCTGAGGAACTGTTGGAAACTGATGACTGATGAGAAGATTTAGTCTCATTACGGGTGAGACTCCTTAGTATGTTGATCAGGCTCCAGTAGATGAATCCAGACTGAACGCCATTTGGGAACACAGGCCTGACTCTATAGGCTTTCATATATATGCAAAATTTGGTGGGGGTAGTAAGGGAGGGTGCCGGTATGGGAGGGGATCAAAATATATTGTGTAAACTGTGCAAAAATTTAATCAAAAATTAAAAAAATAATTTTCTAGCTTATTATAAAAGCCAAAACTATTTGAAAGGAGTTGGTAAATGGATCACAGAAGGGTTGGAGTGAAAGAAAATGTCTTGGAGAAGAATAAGGAGATACTGATTCCCTATACAACCCAGGAAGGATATGAACAGCATAGGATTGTACCCAGCACTTTGGCTGTGTGCTGAGGAAGTGGGAATTGATGGTTGGCTGTGAAGCAGACCAAGTTCACTAAATAAGAACCTCATCAAATTCACAGTACAACCCAAGATTTTGGGCTCCAAATGTGACAGGGGAGAACCAAAGCAACTGTACCTGAGGTGAGCAGAGCCAGTGGTGATGTGGTGGTACTCGATGAAGACAGCTGATTACTGGATGGACATCTTTAGTGTATTTAAACAGCATGGAATGCTGTGCTTTGAAAACACGTTCAGCACATGAAGTTTGGGAACTAGGAAATGATTGGTGCTGATTCTCTGAAGTCATGGTGGGGGTTTGCTTGTCAGAATTTGCAGTCTAGCAATCACATCAGCTACCACATAATCTATTCTTTTTGCTTTAAGATCTGCAACCATCGTGGCCCTCCTGGAAACATTCACTTCATAATATTAGTTTCCAAATGTTTGGTAAAATATGTCTTTTTTGCTGTTATACTTAGATTCTATGTATAACATCAATATGTTGTCAGTTAAAAAACACACAAAACAGGACATAAAGTTGGGTGGATACAGAAAGGAGGATGGACCTGGGAGGAATTGGAGTGAATGTGATCAGAATACATGGTATAAAATTTTCAAAGAAATGATAAAAATTTAAAAATGTAGACAGTGGTCATGATACTATTTTTGGAATTAAGCTACTTTTTACCAAATGAATCGAAGGTCTTACCTGAGCAAGTAACTTGGGCTTCTTTATAGTCAGTACAGGAAAGGCCACCCCACTGCAAATTCTTGCAGTCCCAAAGAGAAGTTTCATTTCCACTACAGCTCCCAATAAATAGCCACATGTTTATTTTCTTAATCTCAGAGTAAGTTTTAGAATATGTTTGAAGTGCAGATCCACATCCCAGCTGCCTACAAACCACGTCAGCTTCTTCCAGGGTCCAGTCTTTGCTGCACACCTTCCCTAACAGTTTCTGAAATTTGACCTCCACAGTTCCAGCACAGCGACTGCTTCCACCTACAAGTCTCAGTTCCAGATCTGATCCATCTGCAGAAGAAACATAAGTACAAGCTGTAGGTACTTGTGGAGGGAGGGTTGTTGCCAAAAGACACTGAATTCCTCCTTCTAGATACCAAAGCTCTGTAAATTGTGACTTACCTACCTTCTTTTGTGTGTTTACTTACTATTTGTTGTTAACTGAGAATTGTACAGATGGCCTTGCACAAACTAGGCAAGTGTTCTATGAAAGATACTTCTTTTTACTTATGTTTTAAAATTTGAAAACAGAGTTTTACTACATTGACCAGGTTGGCCTTGAGCTCACTCAGTAACACAGGCTGGCCTTGAATTTTCTATCCTCTGTCACAGCCTCCCGAGTAGCTTGGATTGCAGGCCTTTACCACCATGCCCAATTTTGGCTCACCTATTCCTTGATGCTTTAATACATGACTAGCGTGGACTATGAATTTGATTAGGAATGGAACTGAAGTTCCAAGGAAAATAAGCCATTCGGCTACAAAAGATAATCCTACAGAATTTAACTCTCTGAGCCCCAAGTAGATTTAGAATTTGAGGTCTCGATCCTAACAGTATTATGAATAATTATTACAGAGAATAGAGTCAAGTATCCTTCACATGAGGAATGTGTGAAGATTCTTCACGACTGTGAAGGAATTCCCAGCAAGGAATGAATGATGCATCTCCACTGCTCACAACTCATGCCTATTCCAATTCCTAAACGGCACAGATTTTTCCCTCTTTGATTTACTTTTTGTTTTAACTTACCAGAACATGTCACGCCTGCATCTTCATTGTGATTACAGTAATGTCTTCCCCACTCCTGGGATTTACATTGCCAAAGAGTTGGTTCATGTCCTTGGCAGGAAACATGGTCAAGCCAAATTTGTCCAGATCCCTCACTGGCATTAGCTCGGCCAATGGTTTTGACGGCAGTTGGACATCCCAGCTGCTTACACACCACAGCAGCATCGTTATCGTCCCAGTGGTCATCACACACAGTACCCCATTCTCCTTGGAATCTCACTTCCAATCTTCCTGAACATTGAGACATTCCATCCACCAGTCTCAGGCTCAGATCTGCTCCCTCTACAACAGCAACAGAGATCAAGTCAGAGATAGGGAAACAAGAAAAAGGAGACTAAAAATTAGCTCCAGCTGAAATGGGCCCAAAAAAGGGCAGAGATGTAGATGGAGACAGCGACAATAATGCCATACCTCCAAGAGAGTCATTAGAGCTGGAAGGAATGGACCAAAACCAAGAACTCAAGTGGAAAGGGAAGAATGCCCTCCCATCACACACAAGCTCACAGCCTTGTTCCTTGATCCTGGTGTGGAGCATTGAAGACTCCAAGCAAAAGCAGTACTTGCTTATAGCTAGCCCTAGCATCAGTGAGGTGCTGCTAGGAAACACAGTGTTGGCTCTTTTAAAAAATGTATTTTATTATTATTTTTAAATATTTTATTTATTTATTTATTTATTTATTTAATGTGTATGCGTGTATTGCCTGCATGTAGGTAAGTGCACCCATGTCAGGCAATGCCCACGGAGGACAGAAGATGCTGTCGGATCCCCTGGAACTGGAGTTACAGACAGTTGTTAGCTGCCATGTGCATTCTGGGATTTGAACCTGGGTCTTCTGCAAGAACAGCCAGTGTTCTTAACCACTGAGCAATCTCTCCAGCCCCAGGCTCTTTTGTTTTTATCATTTAATTCTGTGAATTTGAGCTAATGTTTGGGGAAGGAGTAGGCTAATGTGGCTGAGAAGGAGACTTGCTAGCTAGAGGATGATATGGGGTGGTTTCCTCTTAAGCCAACTTCAGCATGACAAATATTTTATGTTTTCTCTCATTATTTTGTGATTCATAGATTTCATATAGATACATAAAATTGCATACATAGAGAGACAGACAAGCAGACAGATAGATAAACAGATATATGACATGAAAGTAGAAATAAAATGGTCTAGAAAGACAGAGAGGATGGAAGGGAGAGGAGAGAAAAGGATGAAGGGTTATGAAGGGAAATATGCTCAGCATACAACATGCACATGTCTGAAAACTTAATAAAAATCTCATCCAAAGAACAAAGCAGTCCCTCCCCACTTTACTCCTCTCTTGATTTCCTGCCCCCTCCCTGGGCTTTTCCTAAACACTTTCTCCTCATGGTAGAACTCAATTTCAGTCTTTATACTTTGTTTCTGCAATTATTTCTTTTTAAAAAATTTAAAAAAAATTTATGTATATGTGTACACTCCAGTGTATGTATGTGCACCACCTGTGTGCAGTACCCACAGATGTCAGAAGAGGGTATCAGGTCCCATGAAACTAGAGTTACAGGTGGTGGTGAACCATGTGGGTTCTGGGAACTTAACCCAGGTCCTCCACAGAGCAGTCAGCACTCTTAACTGCTGAGCCATGTCTCCAGCCTCTCCTGCAACTTTTTCAATTTCTAATTTCAGTTATCTAAAAATCAGCAATATCAGATGTGAAACCCCAAAGGAGAGAGTAATGAGGTGACAAAGAAAGCTGACTGGACGCTCCTATGTTTTCAAGGGCTCAGGCTTACAGAACTGCTACCTCTTTCTTTTCTGCCACAGAGAACAGAAAGCCCAGATCCTCCTTACCCAAGCAAATCACTCCAACATCCTCAGCATGGTCGCAGTTATGCTTTCCCCATCCTCGGTGTTTGCAGTCCCAGAGAGCTGACTCATTTCCATTGCAAGCCAGATCATCAAACCAGATTGGTCCAGAACCTTGTCCAAATTTAGCTGAACCAGAGAAACTGACAGCACTTCCACATTCAAGTTGTTTACAAACCACAGAAGCGTGAGCTATGTTGAAGTTATCATCGCACACTGTTCCCCACTCTCCTTTGAATTTGACTTCTATTCTTCCTACACACCGGTTGCCCCCATCCATGAGTCTCATCTCCACATCGGATCCGTCTAGAGCAAAGACCAAAGTTAGGAAGTGATAGCCATTCATAATCAATTAATCATTTAAAGTATTCTGGATACTCGGAAGATGATGCTGTCCTCAAAATAGCACTCGAGTTTTAGATGCTGCCCACCTCCACATACTGGAAAATTAGGTCTTGTTAAAATCCAATGAACAATAAAGACTCTCATCTATATCTAATTACCAAGGAAATTGTTTTTCAGACCAAAGATTTTTAAAAAAATTTTTTTGAGAATTTCATACAGGCATAGAAGCATATAAGGTGTTTTGATCAAATCCATGTCCACTCCCTCCCTTCCAACTCCTCCCATATCTCCCATCACTTTTTTTCTGATAACTTCATGTACTCTTTCTTCTTCTTCTTTTCTCCTCCTCCTCCTCCTCCTCCTCCTTCTTTTTGTGGGGCTTTTTGCTACTCTGACATTCCCCCCTCTGAAGAGGTAACCCTAAAATCTTTTAGGGATTAGATAAGAGCTCCCAAATACTTTGGAACAGAGTATGTTGCTAAGAGGCCCAAGGACATGATGACTGTTAGCCAAGAAACTCTTCTTTGGAGTCTTTTTACACTAATTGCCTAGCCAGTTCCTACCTCCTATTCTTACCATACCATCCCTGAAGAGGTTACCCAGCTTGCAGATAGGGAATCGGGTGCAGAATGCTCTGGCTTCTTCCATGCTGAACAGGGACGCAGGGTGAGGCAATTGGGGTACCCCTTCAGTGGGATGCAGACCAAAGCTTTTAAACTTTCTGTCTTATTACCAGAAGAGAAATAAGCATTCTTTGATATAGAATTTAAAAACCTAGAGAAAGAAAGGGGCCCTATAATCAAGCTATTGAAAATAAGAAATTGGTAATTTGCTGAGCACTTAAACTCCTTATTTTAACCTCTCTTTATTAAGAATTCAGAGAATGATTAATTAATTTTGAATTTGAAACTAGAGAGATCTAAAAAAAAGCAAAGATTGAAATACCCAAATATATGTAACAGTTTGTAAAAGCACCATATTATTAAAAATTAGGGAAAACAATTTACTTCTTCCAATCTTCTGAATTAAAGCTATTTTCTTCTCCCCAAAGCATCTACCACTATTTCCAGCAACAAACAGCATTTTCTATAAGAAAATTTGTTTCTCTTATTACCCGTTAGATTTTCTGTGAGCACTAAAATACATGAAAACAAGGAGACTTTACTTGAAATCTGGGGACACTTGAAAACACAAAGCATACTTTAACAAAATGTTTAGAAGCACATTATTATTATTATTATTATTATTTTCTTTTCTTTTTTTAGACAGGGTCTCCCTGTAGCCTTAGCTGGCCTGGAACTTGCTATGTAAATCAGGCTGGTTTCGATCTCACAGAGATCTGCCTGCCTCTACCTCCCAAGTGCTGGGATTAAAGGCCTGTGCCACAACACCTGGCTAAGAAATTAAACTTTAAGACCTCTAAACTCTAAGCAAAGACCCTTACTTGATAAGGTTTGTTTTTATTATGGTCAATTATTAAAATAATTAATAATAATAAGCAGCCACCATCAAAAAATACATATTAAGTGTATCGCATGCCATATTCTTTAGTCCTTATGGATTTAAACATCACATGCTATTATTGTTAGCCCACTTTATAGATCAGCAATCTGAGATTAATGATTGGTCATGATGTTGAACTCCTAGGAGATGCCAATATTTGAGAGGCAAGGAGGTTGGAGGGAATGGTTTAGCACAAGTCCTCTGTTGATAATTATGACATCTAGCCTTCATGCCTATGATAAGAATGAAATCTCGCAAGAGGTAGAAGTTCTGCAGATCAAGCCCTACCTAGGGTAGAGACTCTCCTAACTACAGATAGTAGACCCCTATGACGCCAGTGAGCCCCTGAATGGCTACAGGTTCTTTTCTATCATTAGGCTCCAGTTGTACCTTTATGTGTAACAGAAAGTAAGCTTAACTTTATCTTTAGTTATACAAACACAGCAGACAAGAGCTAAAGGTACCACAAGGGTGTCATAGCTAAATATCAGTTCTGTATACAACAATAATTACGGTAAGAGCTTGGCAAGCTTTATTGTGATTTTGAAATTTGCTGTAGACGTTGTTTTGTTATCCCCTATTTCTTACCGTAAAGATAGATAATAGAAGAAGTTGGAAGGGGGCAGGAAAGAGGAGGAGAAAGTGAGAGGGAGGAAGAAGAACAGGAGGAGGAGAATGAGGATGAGTGGGTCAACAGGAAACTGCAGGGAACCATGAGGAAACTAGCATTTTCAGAATGTGTTACTTGCCCGACAGTGTGCAAAGAGTTTGCATGTATCTTATTACTGAGCTGTCAGAGAACTCAAGGTTAGAAAGATTTAAAACTTTGTATGAAGTCACAGCATTAGTGGGTGATGGTGCTAGAATGTAACTCAGCATTTTTCTAAGGGACAGAGAATGTGAATTGAGTCAGAACCAGGTCGTGAGATTTGCTTTGCCTTTAGCAAATCTTACCCGAGCAGGTCACTCCAACATCTTCCTGGTGAGTACAGTTGTGCTTTCCCCACCCTTTGTGTTTGCAGTTCCAAAGAGCTGACTCATTCCCTCTGCAGGAAACGCGATCCATCCAGATGTGCCCAGAGCCTGCACTGGAGTTAGCCCACCCGAGGGCCATAATGGCACTTGGGCATCCTAGCTGCTGGCAAACCACAGAAACCTCATTCATGCTCCAGTCAGTGCTGCACACCGTTCCCCACTCCTGCTGGATCTTCAGCTCCACTCTCCCACTGCACTTGTTTTTACCACCAGCTAGTCTCAGTTCCTTTTCCACTCCTGCAACAGCAAATTAGCACAGCAGGTGATGGTCACAAATAGTCAAGAGAGAGGGAGAGAGAGAGATATCATTCTTTAGATTACTTATTTATCATGCAGAATCAGGATTGAGAATCATGCTGGTCCCAATGGAAAAATGTCATTTTACAGCATTCAGATATAATTCTTAGTATCACAAACTTCAAATGACACAGTGACAAAACTGGTCAAGCCAACCAGCACAGTACTATGTGATATTTTATTTTTATGTCTGGATATCCTCAATAGTAGCAATTTATCCCATCTAAATATGACACAACAGTGCTATAAGAATAAATTATGTATCATAAAATCAATAGAATTAGAGTTGATCATTAATGTGAGGTGATAGTTGAATTTGAGGAGAGTTAAATACCCATTTATGCATATTTATAAAATTGCATAGTTTTTTTAGAACTGTAGTAGAAATCTAATTAAAACTAATTGATTTAAATGGAAATTAAGATAGAGAAATGTTCCTATTATCCTCTATCATAAAATAAAATAAACACCTCTCTATCTCCCTTCCCAAAATTCCCTCAGTTGCTTCTTCTTTTTGTTTGTTTTTTTTTTTGCTTAACCGAGGAACCTGGTGGTCCCAGCAGCCTGGCTCTCTTGAGTACATTTTCAGGTAAAATGTGAGATTTGAATTTATTAAAGTGTTCCTAGAATTTCCTTTTGCCCCAATAATTCTGAGGTTTCTTCCTTTCTGCGTTATCCTTTTACTCTGCCACACACATCAAAAAGTTTCTAATCTTTATGTAGGTATTTTTCCTGAGTTTATTTCATTGTATTTTCTTGATCATGGCTATGTTGTGGTGCCTCATGACTTAGGATATTATTGATTGCCTTTTAACAACTATTCCTTCAAACCCATGGAGCATGAGGTTTTTGGTATTTTTTGGTCTTTTTGAGACAGGGTCTTCCTGTAGCCCTAGCTGGCCTGGATTCATTATGTAGACCAGGTTGGCCTCGAACTCACAGAAATCTGCCTGCCTCTGCCTCCCGAGTGCTGGGATTAAAGGCGTGTGCCACCACATCCGGCTGAGCATGAGTTTTTTTAGAATTATTTTAGCAGTTCATATCAGAGTGGGCTAAGTCTGTAAGTAAATTTGATAGGATACTCACCTAGAGAACTGGTGAGGACAGAGGCACTGAGAAAAGAGACCACAGCCACAATGAAGGGACCCAAATGGACAAAACGTCCTCTAAGAACTGTACAAGAAAGAAAGAGGACAGAAGTACAGCTTCCCAACTACAGACTGTGGAGAAGGAATGTTTCAGATTTGGGGACCAACAAAGATCAAATACCAAGAAAAACCCTTCCCTCAAAATGGAAGGCAGACTAGAAAACTACATCCCCAGATACATATACTGTTAGCTCAACAGCTTTGAAAATGTGTCTGCTATAAACAACTAGAAGCAAAGATTTATAAGAAACTTGGGGATGGAAATAAATGACAAAGACAGGTCTTAAAACTTCCATGATTGTAAAAGGCATCAATGAAACTTAGAGGTGGAGAGATTTTCATGTCTCCACAGCACAGGTTTCTGACCCCAACCTTCTCAATCAATTACGCATGCCCCCACCTCCATGTCTACCTGGTCTGCTCTGTTAGGTGGTAAGTTCTGTGAGAGAATGGACTGCATTTATAATTGCATTTATCACGGTAGTTTTACCAGTACTTGACATGACCTTCTAAATAGCAGCCTGAACAATAGAAACATTGTCTATTTTATATCACTGAAACTCAAATGTTAGATCTTTTCAACTCCACACACACCATGCCTATAACAGGCATATAACTTTCCTAGTGCTGTTGTAACGCTCATTTCTCCTGATAACTGCAAGTCAATATTCATGAAAAGTAAAACTAGAATGATTTTAGCATGTCCCTGCAAATCCTGCAGTGGAATTCAACACTCAATTTCCTTTCTAAATTTCCTCTAAAAAAAAAAAAACACCCAATATTCAATCAGTATTGGCTCCTACCTGTTTTATCTTTTATAAGAACTATTGTTTTCATAATTCCCGACTTAATTTCACCTCAGCAATTTTATAAAATTGATATGAGTGCTGGTTCCTTCTTTATAATTTCAGTTTGGGATCTATGGCAGATAGAAGGTCTTTCCACAGAATTCTAATGCCCCTTTCTGCTCTTTACTCTCCTCTGTTAATCATATCTATTAACTCCCAGAATATTTCTAAACTCCACTAAAGGATAAATATAAATGAGACACTTTACCAGCAAATCCAGAGTTTTCAAGCAGAACCATTCTGAGATTGCCCATTCCAAGGTTTTATAATTTTGATGATTTCTAAGTCTTCTCGTACTATTCCATAGAAGTGTTCTCCTTAACAATTGGACTACCACAAATGAATATCCTGGTCTCGCTCTTAAAAATGAAAAGGCTACAGACTGTGGGAGGAGCCAACTGTAAAGAGGAAGTTATTATGTCCTTCCATCATCTTGTTTTTTACACTATAGGACAAGAAACAACAGTGGGAAACTAATACTTCTTATGGATTTACCAAAAACTCGGGAGAATTCATCTATATGCTCCTTCTGCTTACTGAATGTTTGTTAAAAATATTTTTTTATGTGTATGAGTGCTATGCCTGCATGTCTGTAAGTGCACCAGTGTTGGGCAATGCCCACAGAGGTCAGCAAGGGACATCAGATCCCCTGGAACTGGAGTTATTGATGGTTGTTAGTCTTTATGATGTAGTGCTCAATTTGGCCTGGGTTTCACTATGTATCCCAGCTGACCTTGAACCTAGAGCAATCCTCCTGTCTCAGCCTCCTCAGTGCTGGGATTACAGGCAAGAGCCACCATGTCCAGCTTTACATTCATAAGTTTTGCTTACAAATTCAAATCAGTAGAATGCTGATGATTTTCATCCCTTATTCAAAGTATTCCTGGTAAAGGGCAAGACCAAAGAAATGGCACACTTTGCCAAACTTCAGTCATCCTGGCCAATAAAGGGTCTGTCCTCTCATCACACTTATTGTGAACCACTGGGCCATTGCCTAAACATTTCCTTCATGGAAAATCTTCTAGGAATCTTCTACTTTACAGATATTACTAATGTAATTTACAATTACACAAATCTCTACATATATTAAGGTCAAAGTAAAAGACCTTGCCAGGACATATCTTTATTCCGTTCAGAGTTATGACACTAGAAGTAACCCAAGTCACATGTTTTATTTAGAGTAGCCCAGGCTAGGCTCTTGGAAGATGAATTCAATAAAACTTTCATGTCTCTTGATAGCTTCTATAAAACTGGTTGAACTGAATGACATTCCCCTCAAACAACTCTTTTTGAAATTCTAATATAACACACAGGTCCCTAGGACTCTCTATCTTGCTGCAGGTCTTAACATTTTTTTCTCCCTATTTTCAACCTTTTACTTCATCCCATAAGAACTGGTGACTAGACTGAGCAGACTGAAGGACATACTCTCCTTAAACTGATCAACCACAGATTGCTCTCTAGGGCCCTCAGCTACTCTTCTGATATGGGCCCCATTTGAGCATAAATTACCCCAACCACTGTCAAATGCAGCTATATCCCATTCTGTTGACTGCTAGCTTTATTGCAATTGGTTTGTCTGTTTTCACTGGCTCATGATTTAGGGGGCTGCTTCAACTTAAGTTGGTTTCTGCTTGAGCATGATATCATAGTCATCCACCCTAGATGGTATTGCCCTAGCCGCAGACCTCACTCTTTGGAAATAGCATTGCCTCAGACAACATCACCCCAACCCCTGTCCTTGAAGATGCCTCACTTTTTATGCCAGAGATGAATTTACTCAGACACTAATGCTGTTACCCATGGACAAGCTCTCCTAATATTTTTATTTTAAAAATTACATTTAGTTATGTATATTTTTATCGAGTTTCTGTCCATTTCATGCAATAAACTTTAGTCACATTTAGACCCCTCCCCCATCCACACCCATTTACAGCCTCCCCACCAGATTTCATGCATTCTGGGATACAAGACATTTTAGCTTTTCATCCTTTGGCGTTAGAATTCTACAATGCCTTGGAATCCACTGTCTACTTAACTTACTGAATGTACCTCTTGTTCTCTGCTAAAAGATATACTCTGCATTTCCATGCCCATACAGAGATCTGAAAGAGCTTACTAAACTTAATGAAGATTATGGATTTCCATCAAAATTCCCTACCTCATATCAGTCAGTGCCTTGACTCTCTTTTTCCATGACCTAGTCCCTCTTCAGCTTTCTAGCAAAATCCTCACCTTATGTTTCCATGCATGACCACCATAGCCACTCTTTACCCTTGGTCAATCATAGCACTACATTTATAATGGGTGCATTATTCTCCAAGTAATGGCTGCTTCTATTGTGGCCCAAGTTAGATGTCTATTAACAACTTACACATATTTCCTTATTGCTTGCTCTGCATGTTTACCTGACTGAAACCATACCTCAGTGCACAATGGTCACATTAGGACCAATAGTTAACCTTTTAATTTTTTGTGTTTTAAAATATATTTTTGTTAATTCTTTGAGAATTTTATACAATGTATTTTGATCACCCACCACTTTTCTCCCAACTCTTCCCAGACCCACCCCATATCTCTCCACTGCTTCCCAACTTTGTGTCCATTTTATATTTTATTTATACCTTACTTAAATTTTTATTTATTTACTTTTTATTTTTGAAACAGGGTCTCCCTGTAGCCCCAGCTGGCCTGGAACTTGCTATGTAGACCAGGTTGGCCTTGATCTCACAAAGATCTACCTGCCTCTGCCTCCTGATTCCTGGGACTAAAGGTGTGCGTCACCATACCTGGCTTGTGTTCTCTTCTTTTGTTGTATATTTTTTACTGAATTTTTGTGTATTTCATGCAAAGCATCTTAATCATCTTTATACTCCCTCCCCTATCCACACCCTCCCATAGCCCCCCCCCAGGATTTCATGAATTCTGTCATTTATGTTAAGGTCTATCAAGTCAAGTTAGTTTGCCCAGTTGTTCTTCAGTGAAAATTCATCCACTGGGGTCTATATAGAGTTACTCCTTTGACAAAGATCAACTCTCCCTCACCCAGCTTAATCATCTGGCAATATTTCTTTGGCTAAGATTGGGGACTGCTGCCTATTTCCCCAGTTACGTGTTTTTTTTTAAATCTGCTTTAGTTTGTAGGGGTCTTGTGCATGCTGACACTATTGCTATGGATTCATATGAGCAACGTTCTAGGAGCCTATAAGACTCTTGTTTCTATATGGTCAAGTACCTCCTCCCCTGGCTCTTACAATCTTTCCTCCCCCTCTTCAGTAATGGTCCCTGAGCCCTGGGTGGGTGGAGTTTAATATAAGAGTCCTGTCCAAGCATGTGTCCTCTTTTTAAAATACCCACCTAGTCTGATTTGTGTGGACTCTATTCCAATAGTCATTAATTTACCTGGAACATGCCAATTTATATTAATCCAAGGATTCTGGGAAAAATGAATAATATTTATTTGTATTATTCATATAGGATATTCCAGGGGCTGGAGAGATGGCTCAGTAGTCAAAAGCACTGGCTGCTCTTGCACAGGACCCAGGTTTGATTCCCAGCACCCACATGGTGGCTTACAACCATCTGTAGCTCCAGTTCCAGGGGAATTCTACATCCTCTTCTGACCTCTGCTGGTATTGCATGACACAGGTGCATTTCCATTCATACACATAAAAAAAAAAACGTTAAAATGGGGCTTTCTATAGCTGCAGAAATTGACAGCATTATTACAAGTGTGGTAACCTTTGTAACACTGAATGCATAACAACCAAGTAGCATCTGTTGGTGGCTGTTTCAGTTCATATTCAAAGGCTATATAACACATTGTTCATTTTGCAACAAGCCCATAATTAACTCAAAGGGTAGCTGATAACAAGTTGATATTGATTGTTTATTAGCCAGGGAAGGATGGGTTAGTGTCAGTCAGGATACCTCATACTGCATATATATTAACTCTGGACAAATATGGGAATAGCTCTGAGAAATAAACCAACGACAAAGAGTTTTCTCAATCAGTATCTTCCAGCACATTCTCTTAAATTCAGAGGTACTTCACTTATTCTTGTGGCTATTGCTCACACAGTGGTTAAAGAACAAGCTTCAAACACGCAGCATGCCTCATAAGACTCCTAATTGTTAACATTATCAAAGTTGTCCTTTGGTAGGGGAGGATTTGTAGGGGAGGAAATGGGGGAATAGAGTTGGTCAAAACATTTTATGCATGTATAAAATTCTAAAAATTAAAATAGAAAAAATTACTTGGAAAAAGAAAAATGAACTGGAAGAGAGTGACTTCAGAAAAATGGCAGAGTAGAAATTCTCTTATTTCTCTTAGGTTCACAGCAGTCCATCTTGAATCTAACCAGAGGCAAGATTGCCACCTTAAATGTGCCATGACTTTAGGTGGAAGATTTGATGTCCCCTTTAGCCAGCAAAATGAATGGTTTACAAACTGCATGGAGCTATTTAGAGAACTTCACTGAACACTATGTTTTTACAGTTTTAAAAAAATGATTTGATTCTCTGTTTTTTGAGTTCGTTATATATTCTGGTTATTAAATCTTTGTTGGATGTGTCGCTGGTAAAGATTTTCTCCCATTCTGTGGGTTTTCTGTTTGCTTCCTTGGTTGTCTCCTTTGATGTACAGAAGCTTTTTAGTTTAATGAGGTCCCATTTGCTAATTCTTGCCCTTGTTTCCTGAGCAATTGATGTCCGGTTTATAAAATCCTTTCCTATGCCTATATCTTGTATGTTTTTCCAAATGTTTTCTTCTAATAGTTTCAGAGTTTCAAGCTTTACACTGAAGTCTTTGAGCCATTTGGAATTGACTTTTGTGCAGGGTGAAAGATAGGGGTTTAGTTTCATTCTTCTACAAGTGGCAATCCAGTTTTGCCAGCACCATTTGCTGAAGGAGCTGGAGAGATGCGATTAAGAGCACTGGCTGCTCTTGCAGAGGATCCGGGTTCAATTCCTAGCACCCACATGGTGGCTAACAACCATCCGTAACTCCGGTTCCAGAGGAATCCAACATTTTCTTCTGACTCCACAGGCATTGCATGACATGGGTGCACTTATACACTTGCAGGCAATATACTCATATACTTAAAATAAAATAATAAATAAAATATTTAAAAAATAAGACATATGGCTTCCCTACCATTCAGAGATGCTTCTCAGTAGACTTGCTTCGATATTGTCAAGACACATTGCAACACAGGGAAGCCCAAGGCACCAGGGGTAAATTACAAAGAATGCAGGTGAGGCTTATGGTAACTGACATGCAAAGCTGATTTCAGCTAGAATGTTCTGA